CTATTGTTTTTATTGTCTCAGAATAATCTGTTGAAATACACAGAGGCATCAACATTAGTTGAAAGTATCATTCTTTCTCATTCACGTCAACCCCCCATAACACACACGCATTCATCCCCCACCACACACACACACACACACACACATACCCCCACCTACACACACACATACACCCCATCCCCCAATACATACACACATTCCCCGCCTCCCACACCAAACACACCCGCACACATACACACACACACACATACACACACACACATCCTTCCCCCCAACACACACACACACATCCCCCCATCCAACACACACACACACTCACATATCTCCTCCCTCCAACACACACACACATACACATCCCCACCCCAACACCGCACACAAACATACACACACATCCTTCCCCCCAACACACACACACACTCACATATCTACTCCCTTCCAACACACACACATCCCCCAACACAAACACACACACATCCTCCCCAACACACACAAACATACACCCCCACCCTCTTACACACACTCACCCCCACTCTCCTACACACACACACTCACCCCCTCCAACACAAACACACACGTACATCCTTCACCCAACACACACACACACACATATCCCACTCCAACACACACACACACACACACACACATCCCCCTCCAACACACACACACACATACATCCCACCCCAACACACACAAACATACACTCTCCCCCTCTCCAAAACACACAAACACACACACACACACATCCCCACCCCAACACACACAGACAAACATACACTCTCCCCCTCTCCAAAACACACAAACATACACACACACACACACACAAGTACATATCCCCCCTCCCATACACATGTAGCGATATTCTGAGCTGACATACACTCAGACACGGAGGTCGCCGCCACCACGGGAATAGGGATCCCGACCCTTAGAGTTTAACAATATTTCTGGTGATTGACCGAGATCTTTCTTCGGAGTTTTTTCAGTGTTTACTATCAGTTGCAGGTTCTTTTTGTTTATATTGAATTTGTTAAACCTTTTGCTCATTTACTTTTATTACGGCCCTTAGTTACAATATAATTACTTTTATTTTTTCGTAATCTTTCAGTTATATTGCTTTATTACATCTTAAATATATATTTATATATTTACGGCACATACAACCTACAAAACCATAATTACAGACGAAATAAACGTAAGAAAGACACAAAAACAAACGAAAATATTCACAAGCAAATGAAAAATGAATACGCGGACATAGAAATACTAATCTATAACGAATACGAACATGCAACAGAAAAATGTATATACACAATTATAAACGAGTAACGCACACAGTACCTACATGTAAATACAACACAATGGTCGGCACTGAACTCGTTCAGTTCAGTTCAGTTAGATTTGCGAAGTCATGCTTCGCCCGGGCCTTTTCTCTGGAGTGGCCCGGCCTGTGTTCACTATTTCTAGTTAGCTCAGATGTTTTCTTTGAACTGCATGCTTACCGCGGTGGCTGGATTGCAAGCAAGCGATCCAGCTGCCACGGTGAAAGCATGTTGCACACCCTTCTTACTGTGGTGGGTGGTCCCTGCCTCAAAAATTGTGTGTGCACACAATTCTGCAATGTAACAGGGTGGCGTTAGGCTCGCCGCAGTGTTTACATAACCTCCCAGACTCACTGTCAATAATTTGCCAAGCGCATTGGTAACCTAGTCTTAGTCTGAATAGTATGACTTCGGCCAGTGGCTCATAGCCTGAAGCATCTGAGTACCACTTGGCAGCGAGCGATTTTGTGATGTTTTCTCTATGTGCTCCCCGGAGGACCGCACACGCTGCAGCTTTGGTACCTTGGCTCAGTCCCCTTCGGCTGGGTTTAACGATCATGGAGGATGGGGGCATACCCCTGCCCTTTTCGGCTAGTTTATCAGCAAGCTCGTTCCCTTGTATGCCTATGTGGCTTGGGACCCAGTTTATGATGATTCTACCTTGACTAAGGATTCTTTGGGCTATGTCAAGAGGTAGATGTTATCTGGGGGCATGCTATGCTGTAAGCTGTCAATAGTTGCTCTTGAATCTGTATGAATGACAACGTGCCCTCCCCTCAGGGACGCGTGTGTCAATGCTTCCATGATCGCAACCGTTTCAGCCTGAAGCGTTGAGGCATTGTCAGTGACCCTAATGGATGCTGTGGTATCCTTTGTTGCAAAGCCGGCGCCTGCAGTATGGTTTATTGGATCCACGGATCCGTCCGTGTAGTTATTTGTTCAATGACCCTTTGTGCTTGTGCCTTTAGGCTAGGCATGGAATATTGATCTTTTCTCATTGTGAGATTTAGAATTGAGAATTCGATCATTTCGTTTGCCCACAGCGGGGGTTCTTTGTAATCAGGGTGAGGGGAGTCCATACCCTTGGCAAGCAATGAATCTTTTAGTTGAAAGTGTATCAAAACTCTGGCTGTATGTGTGAGCCAGGAATTGTCTGCAAACAACTGGTAATCTTGTTGTAGGCGTCTGAGAACTCTTTGTCTTAGATAGGAGTTTGTGGGTACCTGCAGGACCTTGGAAAGGAACTGTGCTGCCATTAGATCTATTCTAGTGTCCATGGACGGTAAATCAGCTTCCATGAGGAGGTTGATGACCTTTGTCCACTTAGGTGCACCTAGAATTATCCTGGATGCTTCGTTTTGTATTGTTTCCAGTTTTTCTTTTAATGTTGTGCTGGAAGCAATGAGGCGACAGATGCATAGTCAATAATAGGACGGACAGCATGTACATAGAATGATCTTAGTACTTTGTGTCCTGCTCCTATGTGTCTCCCTGTCATGACTTTCATGACTGAGTCTTTCCTTGGTTCTGTCAAGCAGGTATTGGATCTCCTTTTTGAAAGTGAGTGTGTGTCCTATCCATACACCAAGGTATAGATAATTCTTCACCCATTCCAGATCCATACCCTGTATAGTGAGTTTTTTGTTTCTGACATTGGTTCTCAGTGCCATTGCTTTGGATTTTGCTGCTGATATTTTTAAAACCGTCCTACAACACTCTTCAGACACCAGGTTCAGACAACGCTGAGCTCTAGTAAGGCAGTCATTGCCAGAGGCTATGATTGCCAAGTCATCTGCATAAGAGATGATCTTGCATCCCTCTGGCAGGTGAATGTCGAGTATGTTGGACATGAGGGTATTAAACAGGGCTGGACTAAGAACCCCTCCCTGAGGAGTTCCATTTTCAAGTGGCATGTGCTGTGAGAGGTGGCCTTGAAATCTGACATTTGCCGATCTATTTTCAAAATAGTCAGCTATCCAGGCCAAGAGTCTGCCTTTGACTCCTTTGTGGATTAGGGTCTCTTGAATGGCAAGTGGACTTGCCAACTCAAAAGCCTTCTCCAGGTCAAGGAAGACAACCACGGCAGGCGAGGTGCAGATTGTGCTTAAGAGTGTGGAAATGCTATGAGCAGTGCTCTTACCCCTTGTGAACCCGTGCAGGTGTTCATGGGGGGACCCATTTTTCCATCGGAGCCTGTTGAGTACCATCTTTTCAGCTGTTTTACCCAGGCAGCTGAGAAGAGAGATGGGACGGTACTTGCCAGGCTCCTTTGGCTTTGGGATGGGAACTATTGTGGCTTGTTTCCAGCTCTGGGGCTTGTTTCCAACTCTGAACTCGCGATCGTCAGTCACTATGAATAATCGTTCACTTTACGCAATCACTGCACCGGCGGACTAGCGCTCGCTTTTGTCGGGGCACAGGGAAACGTTCTTACATGCACTGGGATACATGACCTGATTAGACTGTCTGCAGAATAGCTGTCCCAAGGACCTCTATAACCGGCAGCGGCAAGGTGGCGTCCATCTTCCCGGTTTCAACAACCTTGGGGGATACCTCAGCCAAGGTCTACAACACTCTTCAGACACCAGGTTCAGACAACGCTGAGCTCTAGTAAGGCAGTGATTGCCAGAGGCTATGATTGCCAAGTCATCTGCATAAGAGATGATCTTGCATCCCTCTGGCAGGTGAATGTCGAGTATGTTGGACATGAGGGTATTAAACAGGGCTGGACTAAGAACCCCTCCCTGAGGAGTTCCATTTTCTAGTGGCATGTGCTGTGAGAGGTGGCCTTGAAATCTGACATTTGCCGATCTATTTTTAAAATAGTCAGCTATCCAGGCCAAGAGTCTGCCTTTGACTCCTTTGTGGATTAGGGTCTCTTGAATGGCAAGTGGACTTGCCAACTCAAAAGCCTTCTCCAGGTCAAGGAAGACAACCACGGCAGGCGAGGTGCAGATTGTGCTTAAGAGTGTGGAAATGCTATGAGCAGTGCTCTTACCCCTTGTGAACCCGTGCAGGTGTTCATGGGGGGGACCCGTTTTCCATCGGAGCCTGTTGAGTACCATCTTTTCAGCTGTTTTACCCAGGCAGCTGAGAAGAGAGATGGGACGGTACTTGCCAGGCTCCTTTGGCTTTGGGATGGGAACTATTGTGGCTTGTTTCCAGCTCTGGGGCTTGTTTCCAACTCTGAACTCGCGATCGTCAGTCACTATGAATAATCGTTCACTTTACGCAATCACTGCACCGGCGGACTAGCGCTCGCTTTTGTCGGGGCACAGGGAAACGTTCTTACATGCACTGGGATACATGACCTGATTAGACTGTCTGCAGAATAGCTGTCCCAAGGACCTCTGTAACCGGCAGCGGCAAGGTGGCGTCCATCTTCCCGGTTTCAACAACCTTGGGGGATACCTCGGCCAAGGTCTACAACACTCTTCAGACACCAGGTTCAGACAACGCTGAGCTCTAGTAAGGCAGTGATTGCCAGAGGCTATGATTGCCAAGTCATCTGCATAAGAGATGATCTTGCATCCCTCTGGCAGGTGAATGCCAGACGATGTTTTTTAATCATTGAATCCGTGGCAGAATCTGTTAAGCGTGCATATCGGTTAATACGACGATCTTAGTAGCTGTTTTCGTCTAGTAATTCAAAGTTAGCAGATGATTATAACAGATATAACTGGT